GGGTCTTTCAGCATGACAATGATCCCAAACAAACCGCCCGGGCAACGAAGGAGTGGCTTCGTAAGAACCATTTCAAGGTCCTGGAGTGGCCTAGCCAGTCTCCAGATCTCAACCCCATAGAAAATCTTTGGAGGGAGTTGAAAGTCTGTGTTGCCCAGCGACAGCCCCAAAACATCACTGCTCTAGAGGAGATCTGCATGGAGGAATGGGCCAAAATACCAGCAACAGTGTGTGAAAACCTTGTGAAGACTTACAGAAAACGTTTGACCTGTGTCATTGCCAACAAAGGGTATATAACAAAGTATTGAGAAACTTTTGTTATTGACCAAATACTTATTTTCCACCATAATTTGCAAATAAATTCATTAAAAATCCTACAATGTGATTTTCTGGATTTCTTTCCCTCATTTTGTCTGTCATAGTTGACGTGTACCTATGATGAAAATGTCAGGCCTCTCTCATCTTTTTAAGTGGGAGAACTTGCACAATTGGTGGCTGACTAAATACCTTTTTTCCCCACTGTATTTTATATGTGAGATTCTTCAAATAGCCACCCTTTGCCTTGATGACAACTTTGCACACTCTTGGCATTCTCTCAACCAGCTTCATGAGGTAGTCACCTGGAATGCATTTCAATTAACAGGTGGGCTTTCTTAAAAGGTAATTTGTGGAATTTCTTTCCTTCTTAATGCGTTTGAGCCAATCAGTTGTGTTGTGACAATGTAGGGGGGGTATACAGAAGATAGCCCTATTCGGTAAAAGACCAAGTCCATATTATGTCAAGAACAGCTCAAATATGCAAAGAGAAACGACAGTTCATTATTACTTTAAGACATGAAGGTCAGTCAATACACATTTCAAGAACTTTGAAAGTTTCTTCAAGTTCAGTCGCAAAAACCATCAAGCGCTATGATGAAACTGGCTCTCATGAGGACCGCCACAGGAATGGAAGACCCAGAGTTACCTCTGCTGCAGAGGATAAGTTCATTAGAGTTACCAGCCTCAGAAATTGCAGCCCAAATAAATGGTTCACAGAGTTCAAGTCACAGACACATCTCAGCATCAACCGATCAGGCCTTCATGGTCGAATTGCTGCAAAGAAACCACTACTAAAGGACACCAATAAGAAGAGGAGACCTAATTGGGCCAAGAAACACGAGCAATGGACATTAGACCGGTGGAAATGTGTCCTTCGGTCTGGAGTCCAAATTTGAGATTTTTGGTTCCAACCGCTGTGTGTTTGTGAGACGCGGTATGGGTGAACGGATGATCTCTGCATGTGTAGTTCCCACCATAAAGCATAGAGGAGGTGTTATGGTGTGGGGGTGCTTTGCTGGTGACACTGTCAGTGATTTATTTATAATTCAAGGCACACTTAACCAGCAGGTGCATTCTGCAACGATACGCCATCCAATCTGGTTTGGGCTTAGTGGGACTATCATTTGTTTTTCAACAGGACAATGACCCAACACCCCTCCAGGCTGTGTAAGGACTATTTTAGCAAGAAGGAGAGTGATTGAGTGCTGCATCAGATGACCTGGCCTCCACAATCCCCCGACCTCAACCCAATTGAGATGGTTTGGGATGATTCAGACGGCAGAGTGAAGGAAAAGCAGCCAACAAGTGCTCAGCATATGTGGGAACTCCTTCAAGACTGTTGGAAAAGCATTCCAGGTGAAGCTGGTTGAGAGAATGCCAAGAGTGTGCAAAGCTGTCATCAAGGCAAAGGGTGGCCATTTGAAGAACCTCAAATATAAAATATATTTTGATTTGTTTAACACCATATTTGTTATTTAATAGTTTTGATGTCTTCTCTATTATTCTACATCCTCCGGACAATCTATATGCCAAAAATGATCAAGATCTGATCATTTGAACATGTATTCACAGGACTTGATTCATGAAATGTGTAAAAAACAGTAACCCCATGTGTCCAAAGACTAAATATAGTACAATATCAAAAACTCACATTGTAGACAAATGCTTTGGCCGATTTAAAAATGTCTTCAGATTTGTCCATCAGTAAGCGCAGAGAGCAAGTGTACTACAACAAATTATAACTTTTCTGTAATGGACATGAATGGTTTAATTGTCAACTGTTCTACAGTGCATTCGGAAAGTATTCAGAACCCTTGACGTTTTCCACATTGTTACGATACAGCCTTATTCTAAAATTGATTAAATTGGTAATTCTTTCCTCATCAATCTACACATACAGTGACTTGCGAAAGTATTCACCTCCCTTTGCATTTGTCCTATTTTGTTGCCTTACAACCTGGAATTAAAATTGATTTACACAACATGCCTACCACTTTGAAGATGCAAAATATTTTTTTTAACAAAAAAACAAAAAACTTGAGCGTGCATAACTACTCACCCCCCCCAAACTCAATACTTTGAAGGGCCACCTTTTGCAGCAATTACAGCTGCAAGTCTCTTGGGGTATGTCTCTATAAGCTTGGCACATCTAGCCACTGGGAATTTTGCCCATTCTTCAAGGCAAAACTGCTCCAACTCCTTCAAGTTGGATGGGTTCCACTGGTGTTCAGCAATCTTTAAGTCATACCACAGAATCTCAATTGGATTGAGGTCTGGGCTTTGACTAGGCCATTCAAAGACATTTAAATGTGTCCCCTTAAACCACTCGAGTGTCGCTTTAGCAGTATGCTTACGGTCATTGTCCTGCTGGAAGATGAACCTCTGTCCCAGTCTCAACTCTCTGGAAGACAAACAGGTTTCCCTCAAGAATTTCCCTATATTTAGCGCCATCCATCATTCCTTCAATTCTGACCAGTTTCCCAGTCCCTGCCGATGAAAAACATCCCCACAGCATGATGCTGCCACCACCATGCTTCACTGTGGGGATGGTGTTCTCGGGGTGATGAGTGGTGTTAGGTTTGCGCCAGACATAGCGTTTTCCTTGATGGCCAAAAAGCTCAATTTTAGTCTCATCTGACCAGAGTACCTTCTTCCATATGTTTGGGGAGTCTCCCACATGCCTTTTGGCGAACACCAAACGTGTTTGCTTATTTTTTTCTTTAAGCAATGGCTTTTTTCTGGCCACTCTTCCGTAAAGCCCAGCTCTGTGGAGTGTACGGCTTAAAGTGGTCCTATAGACAGATACTCCAATCTCCGCTGTGGAGCTTTGCAGCTCCTTCAGGGTTATCTTTGGTCTCTTTGTTGCCTCTCTGATTAATGCCCTCCTTGCCTGGTCCGTGAGTTTTGGTGGGCGGCCCTCTCTTGGCAGGTTTGTTGTGGTGCTCCATGGGATGTTCAAAGTTTCTGATATTTTTTTAATAATAAATATAATATGACATTTAGCAGACGCTGTTATCCAAAGCGACTTACAGTCATGCGTGCATACATTTTTTTTGTGTATGGGTGGTCCCGGGGATCGAACCCACTACCCTGGCGTTACAAGCGCCGTGCTCTACCAGCTGAGCTACAGAGGACCACAACCCTGATCTGTACTTCTCCACAACTTTGTCCCTGTTTGGAGAGCTCCTTGGTCTTCATGGTGCCGCTTGCTTAGTGGTGTTGCAGACTCTGGGGCCTTTCAGAACAGGTGTATATATACACTGAGATCATGTGACACTTAAATAAAGTCCATCTGTGTGCAATCTAACTAATTATGTGACTTCTGAAGGTAATTGGTTGCACCAGATCTTATTTAGGGGCTTCATAGCAAAGGGGGTGAATACATATGCACACACCACTTTTCCGTTATTTATTTTTTAGAATTTTTTGAAATAAGTTATTTTTTTTCATTTCACTTCACCAATTTGGACTATTTTGTGTATGTCCATTACATGAAATCCAAATAAAAATCCATTTAAATTACTGGTTGTAATGCAACAAAATAGGAAAAACACCAAGGGGGATGAATACTTTTGCAAGGCACTGCAATACCCCATAATGACAAAGCAAAACCCGTTTTTTTTGACAATTTTGCAAATGTATTAAAAATAAAAAACTGAAATACCACATTTACATAAAATATTCAGACCCTTTACTCAGTACTTTGTTGAAGCACCTTTGGCAGCGATTACCCCCTTGAGTCTTCTTGGGTATGACGCTACAAGCTTGGCAGACCTGTATTTGGGGAGTTTCTCCCATTCTTCTCTGCAGATTCTCTCAAGCTCTGTCAGGTTGGATTGGGAGCGTCACTGCACAGCTATTTTCAGGTCTCCCCAGAAACTTGTCCCGAAGGGATTGGGAGCGTCACTGCACAGCTATTTTCAGGTCTCCCCAGAAACTTGTCCCGAAGCCACTCCTGCGTTGTCTTGGCTGTGTGATTAGGATCGTTGTCCTGTTGGAAGGTGAACCTTTGCCCCAGTCTGAGGTCCTGAGCGCGCTGGAGCAGGTTTTCATCAAGGATCTCTCATCTTTCTCTCAATCCTGACTAGTCTACCAGTCCCTGCCGCTGAAAAACATCCCCACACCATTATACTACCACCAACATGCTTCACCGTAGGGATGGTGCCAGGTTTCCTCCAGACGTGACGCTTGGCATTCAGGCCAAAGAGTTCAATCTTGGTTTCATCAGACCAGAGAATCTTGTTTCTCATGGTCTGAGAGTCCTTTAGGTGCCTTTTGGAAAACTTCAAGCGGACTGGACTCCAATCAAGTTGTAGAAACATCTCAAGGATGATCAATGGAAACAGGATGCACCTGAGCTGAATTTCGAGTCTCATAGCAAAGGGTCTGAATACTTCTGTAAATAAGATATATATATATATATATATACATACATACATACATACATACATACACACACACACACACTTGCAAAAATGTATAAAAACCTTTTTCATTATGGGGTATTCTGTGTAGATTAATGAGGAAAAAAGTAATCGAATCCATTTTAGAATAATGCTGTAACGTAACAAAATGTGGAAAAAGTCAAGGAGTCTGAATACTTTCCGAATGCACTGTAAATAGGACAACACAACCTATCTGTTAAAAATTTAAATGTGAGGTATTCGCAATCTCAGACGAACCTGATGTGGCTTGACACAGCTGGAGTTGAGGTTGGGGTACCGTGTTACCGGGTCTATGGTGTACTGATCAAAGTTCTTTGAGATGTTCTCTGTCGTTGTTTGGGGTAATAGCCTGTAGAGGCCCTCCCTACAAACATGTCATGAAATGAAAACATTCATTTTCTGTTAAAAGCTGAACAACAGATGACCTGTCATACTGTGGGACAGTAAACACAAAATCACCATAACTTCCACTAATAGGATAACCAAACATTTGCTAACATGTAGCAACATGGATCTAATCAGAATTTGAATGTAGACACCTGACAGCTATTTTTTCAAAGTGACTGGAACCGGTCTCTCCTAACCTGGATTAAGAAAAATGTCAATAGAAGCTCATCCCATTTACAGTAGGTCTGTGTACATTTACATTTTAGTCATTTAGCAGACGCTCTTATCCAGAGCGACTTACAGTTAGTGAATACATTTTTATTTTATTTTTTCATACTGGCCCCCCGTGGGAATCTAACCCACAACCCTGGCATTGCAAATGCCATGCTCTACCAACTGAGATACATCCCTGCCGGCCATTCCCTCCCCTACCCTGGACGACGCTGGGCCAATTGTGCGCCGCCCCATGTATGGATGTAAACATGAGCTCAGTGAGGCCCCGATCCCCAGCCTACTGTACCTTTCTGCCAGTATCTCCAGATGGGTCTTGCCCTGCGCCCAGCCCCTCACCATCCACACCGTGTCAAAGGCAGCCAGGAACCCTCTAGCACAGCCTGTCCCCATGGGCCAGAAGGGCTGAAGACAGAGAGTACATTGGTCAACACACTACACACAGTACGCTCATACAAAGCAGGAGACACACTAATAGTTCAGCGACAACAAGCAAGCTAGGAATGTTCTCAAACTGCCTAAAGGGAATATGTGTGGGAAAAACATGATAATTTGATCTACAGTAAGATGAGGCGATTTTGTTTTTGCTATCTATAAATAAGTACAAGCCACCTGGTACTGACAACCTGGATAGTAAATTGCTGAGGTTGGTAGCGGAATACATTGCGACTCCGGTTTGCCACAGCTTCAATTTAAGCCTAGAAGACGGTGTGTGCCCGCAGACCTGGAGGGAGGCAAAGGTCATTCCGCTGCCCAAGAATAGCAGAGCACCCTGTAATGGTTCAAACAGCCGACCAATCATCCTGTTACCAGGGCTTAGCAAACTTTTGGAAAAAAATGGTGTTTGACCAAATAGAAAGTTATTTTACAGAAACAATTTTTACAACAGACTTTCAGCATGCTTAAAGGGAAGGGCACTCAACATGCTCGGCACTGACACAAATGATTGATGATTGGCTAAAAGAAATTGAAAGTAAGAATATTGTAGGAGCTGTTTTGTTAGACGTCAGTGCAGCTTTTGATATCATTGATCATAACGTATTGCTGAAAACTTGTGTTATGGATTTGCATCCTCTGCCTTATCATGGATTGAGAGTTACCGATCTAATAGAACACAGAGGGTTTTCTTCAATGGACGCCTCTGTGATGCAAATTCAGTTAAGTGTGGTTTACTGCAGGGCAGCCAGCTTGGGCCATTATTGTTTTAATGTTTTCTCTAATGACCTTCCACTGACCTTGAATAAAGCCTGTGTGTCTATGTACGCTGACGACTCAAAAGTATACACGTCAGCTACGACAGTAAAATAAATAACTAACACCCTTAACATAGAGCTCCAGTCAGTTTTAGAATGGGTAACTAGCAATAGGCTGGTGCTAAATATTTTTAAAAAAAAACTAAAAGCATTTTTTTTGGGACAAATCACTCGCTCAATGCTAAACCTAATTTAGATCCATTATTGAATAATGGGCGATTGAGCAAGTTGAGGAGACTAAATGGCTGGGTGTAACCCTAGATAGCAAGCTGTCATGGTCAAAACATATAGACTCAATGGTTGCTAAAATGGGAAGAGGTCTGTCAATGTTAAGGCGTTGCTCTGCTTTCTTGACATCTCAGACGACCAGACAGGTCCTACAGGCACTAGTTTTGTTGCACCTGGACTACTGCCCAGTTGTGTGGTCATGTGCGGCAAAGAGGGACATAGGTCAATTGCAGTTGGTCCAGAACAAACGGCACGTACTGCATTTAGATGTACATGGGGGGGGCAAATGTCAGTTACATGTATGTCATTCTCTCCTGGCTCAAAGTTGAGGAGAGATTGACTGCATCACAATTGGTCTTTGTGCGAGGTGTTGAAGGTACCAAACTGGGTGACACTCATCGGTACAACACAAGACATGCAATCAGAGGTCTCTTCATAGTCCCCAGGTCCAGAACAGAGGCTGGGAAAAGCACAGTATTAAATAGATTAAAAACCAGATAAAAGAACACCTTACTGCACAAAGGGGACTGTGAAGAGACACAGCCATTTTATATATCTTGTATTGTAATTTGCCCTGTATTATGTATTGTATTATGTAGGTGGGTGGCCTGAACGGCTCATAGGGCAGGAGCCATCTCGTGTTTCTGAAGTGTGAGGCAGGAGATGATGTAGTATGGGGATCCCAATAAAATACTGTAACCATCCCAAAGGCAAACAATCCCTACACAAAAGGAGCAAGTTGAAACGTGTGTAAGGATGTGCTTTTACTGTACATATACCACATTTACTGTTGGCTCCTGTGACTTCAGAGAGGCATTAAGACAAAGCTTTGAGAATTGACTAGCACTAGAGCGAGAAATTAAATGAACAGTGATCTATACCGGCGCACCAAACGAATGAAAACGGACCAAACAGGGAGGAAAAACCTGAAGTTGTCCAATGAGAAATGCATGTCTTTGGTTTCTGCTGCAAAATTATTTGCTCCATTTTGCTATGGCGCGACCTAATGTGTATACATATCACCCACAACAGTAAAACATCTAGTATGACGTAAAGCCCCCTCACCTCCAGTAGACTGTCCCCCACCAGAGACACCAGTAGCTGGTGTCCGCACTTCTCCCTGAACAGCGCTGCGTTCTCCGAGGCGTACATGCAGGTGAAGTCGAACATGGCCACGTCGGGCTGGCTGCAGTGGTTGATGGCGTAGTCCAGAGAGGGCAGCTGGTAGTTGGTGCCAAAGTCGGCCGCCTCGCGGGCATAGGAGAGAAGAGCCTCCTGGTTCACGTTGTCTTGGTCCAGCAGCTTCTCTGTTTCAATGTAATCCTGCAGGACCAAGAAACAGGGAGGGTTGATGGAAAATCAATGGTATTGCTCCAAAAGGATCAGAGCGCCACCTCTACCAGGCCCTAGTTGGAGCCTATAACTGGGGCATAAGATTTTCCTGGTCAGGTCACATGGTCAGGAAAACATCATGGCCCTACCTACCTATTGCATGTGATCCCTCTTGATTCTGTGGAGATCAGACTGAGGTGATGGCAACCGGCCCTAAAGACTTTACAGTTGCCGTAGACCGTTTTGTTCAACATTTCTGAATACGTAAGCAGGATTTGAAACACTATGCAGTACAAGTCAGTTTATTTAAGCAGTTGCTGAAACATCAAAGGGACAAGTTTCACCTCCGGTAGCAAGCAATTACAGGGATTACAAGTCTACTACACTATAGTTACGGATCAGAGCTCTCACATGAAATCATACATATTTTAATTGTAGGAATTTGAACCAGTCAAGGCAGTAGTGCTATAATGAGAGCTTAAAGACTACACACAGAGGTCACATTCAGAGCAGGAAGGATGAGGAGTCAGTCTTCACTGAGGGAGAAATTAAATGAAAACAAGCCTTCAGAGACCAGACAGACAGAGGGGCCAGATTCCTTCTCACACAGCAACACTTTTTTCTCTCTCACTCCAATCCAATGTATCTTGTTCTGTGCTTTCATTCCCATTTCAAAGCCAGGGCTGAGATTTAGCACCCTCTGACATATAGGGCACAGCTGTAAATATCTGAACTGTTGGGGAGTGGAAGAGTGGGGGAATGACATATGGGGAAAGTGAACACAAAGGAGCAAAACAAACACCACTCACATGAATGATGACCCCCTTGTCCAGCAGACTCTGCTTCTTTGCGGTCATCACAAAGTAGTGTGTGTTGTCTCTGTAGTACACAATGTTCTCCAGATCAATCCCTGCAATAACAAGACAACAGATTCATTAACACCTTTATGTCCGTCATCATGTTGACCAGGTTGTATTAGTTGACCCCAACCGTACAGTAGGGATTAGGCCAGTGGATCATGCTCCACATACAGTGTGTATCTTCTGATCCATGTGAGTGATGGGGCACAGCCCTTTAATTAAGAGGGGATTGGAGGGGGAAGGGATTCCAGCCTGTCTTCACTGCTGAGCTAACTGTCCTCACAAAGCCAAGCAGGCTGGGAGAATCAGCAGCACAGGATCCTCCATGGTGTGTTAGCATGGCAAAGCACATCTTATCTACCTGACAGGCTGGTACTTAATTGTAAACACAACACTCCCTTTTTTGTAGGAGCCACACTGGTTTCATTGATTAAAACATTTTATTTTGGTTCCCACTGGACTGATGTGATGATGACGACACCTAGGGAATCAGAATTCTAGAGGTAAATTAGCCTGGTCGCAGATTTGTTTGTGCCGTCTTGACAACTCCTATGGTCATTGGCAAGACAGTACAAACAGATCTGGGACCAGGCAAGGGGGGTCAGGTTTGGTAGAGGACCCACCTGTCTCCTCTTTGAGCTCCAGGAAGAACTTCTGGTTGAAGATGAAGGCCACTCCGCTGATCTCTTCCACCTTGGCCTCGGCCGTGGTGTTCCTGTTGACAAAGTTGGCTGTGATGGCGATGGCCAGCTTACCCCGGAACTCCTTCCTCTTGAAACCTGAGGGGAAGTATTGTTATTGTTCTGCTAAGGACACTTAACGTTTTGGATGTTAATCATTTTATATTGTATTAAACTGGATCAGACTGATTTATTACATAGAGTAATACTTTGATTGTATTATTCTTATATCACCATGTAATAAACAGACTGATGATAAGGTTCAGATTATGCAAAAAAAACTAAACAAACCAGAGCATTACAAAATACTACCTTTGAACTTTGAGTAATAATCTTGTCTGGGTGATGATTAACCCATTTTCTTTCCTTTTTAGGTGCAGAGTCAGACTACGCTCAAGACTGATGCCAATACTGTAATTGACTTTCACCCGTCACATGACCAGGGTCAGTCTGTATACAAGCTGTTCATCTTCTCAGGCTCCCAGGTAGACCTCTGGGCAAAGTGCTCTGATACGGTTCAAATGTTGCCAGTGCTAACTAGAGTTAACTGCAGATGAAGAGTAGTAGTCACTACCAGGGGCGCAACTTTGGTTTTAGAAGTGGGGGGACATAATTATATATATATATTTTTTTAATCCAGTCGGATAAACACTCCAAGCAGCCTACCCGACCGCTCGGAGGTGTCCGCATGGTCCTAAAGCACACATCTGCCTCGTTTTGTATCACATTCCAATAATACAACTGGGGGGGGGGGGGACAAAAATGCCATTTCAGAATGTGTGCATTTCTATTGGACTTTCCCTGTCTAGTATTTTATGGCTATGACTGAAACTCTGTAGTTTGCCCCTTTTTTAGTTTAAAATGTTCAGGTGTGCAACTTTTAACCATGCACCAAGGGTCTTCCAGCCTCCTGTCAATGTTTAAACAGTCAAACACTGTGTAGAGCCAATAACATCTCCATCATGTGTTCTCACCGTCTAGCGTGTTTCTGCGTCCATCCGCACCAATCACCACGTCAAATTCAAAGTCAGTGAGGGGGTGGTTTGATGGTCTGATCTCAGCTCTCCATCCAGGCCCTGGGAAAAGGAGAAGATACAGTATTAGACAAGTGTTCCGAGACAGCGGCAAGCCATATGAATAAAGCAATATATTGTAAACATTTTCTATTTTCCATGACTGTTAAGATTGCATCGGAGTTTGTTATTGATGACAAGTCACTACATCGTGCTTTTAGATTAATGTGAGGGCATGGTTAAATACATAATACATAGCTAAGTTGTCTGCAACTCTATAAATAGCTGGAGTCTTGCTGAGGGTTTGTAATCTTTCACAATGCAGCGTGGTGAGTGGCAATGATGCAGAGCGAAACAGTGACCCTCTCCATTTCAGCTCAACACTCATGCCACACAGTCTTACAGAAACACGCCAGGCCCACAGCACATTCTCCTGAGGTACCCCCTGAAGAACACGGTCACTGCTGCAGAGAAGGAAACATTGCAACCCTACATTTAGGCTAGTCTTCCATCTCCGTCTTCTGCAAACCCAAGCAAGTCTTCTATATTTATCTAGTGACAAGTCTGCCACCACATGCTACTGAAGAAATAACTAGGAGAAAAACAGGACGCTTGTTCAAATCCAATGTTCAAATCAAAATGGGACAGTTGGTGAAGCTTAGGGACTCTGAGGGACTTTGAAATGCAGCTTCATAAATATACAATGGGCTTGTTTTTGGCATCAACTAAAATTAGGCAAGCAACATTGATCTACAAAGCACATGCGCTTCACTGCAGCTCTAGAGGCAGCCTCTACATGTAAATGGTATTATGGGGCACGTGTTTCTAATAAAGAACACAAGATTGAGACCTAGCCAATCAGTCTGTGGCGTGTGATGTCATTTTGAGGCAGAGAAAGGGTTGTGGAGCCTTGCAATAGTCCAAATCATTCGCAGAACAACAATATATAAAGCAGATTTATGACAAATATGCAAGCATGAAATAACAGTAAAATAAACAGAAATAAATTGTTTGTTGTAAACACAGCTGTTTAGTGATGATTGCCATGGACATGTTAACATGGCATGGAGGCTAGGGCTGTGACGGTCATGGATGACGGTTGTTGTTCAGCCAAATGGCCGCGGTCACCGCTAATCATTTGAATAGCGAAAGAATTATGCAAAAAATTAATAATGCGCTGCTGCTGCAGGGAGGGGGGCATGACCGGTTCCTGTTTGCTACACCTTGCTTGTTTCAGCAAAGAGCAACACAGTTTCATCACATTGTACAGTATCCATTTTACCCCGGAAACAGACTCCACAGCCCAAATGGTGTCATGACGTTCTTCATCCATAATCGTCTGTTACATGATTATACGGTAATTGTGCAAGCCCTAATGGAGGTTTGAAGTTCTGAAACTTCCTTTCACAGACTGAAGCTGGACCTGATACCACTGTGTCACTGTGTTGGAGTCAAAAGTGGACAGAAAGATTAAAAACATGACCGGTTCCTGTCCAAAGGTGGGAAAAGCTGTATTTTCAGACAAAAAAAGAAAGAAAGTAACCTTCATTCTCCTGCTTGTCCGGAGGTTCCAGCAGTTTGACAAACTCCACGTTGACATGGACCTCCACTCCCAGGATGAGGGAGACCTTCAACAGCATGAGCTGGAGCTGTCGAATACCTTCATAGACAAACAGATCAGGTTTATTTAAAAAGTGGCAGTGCAGTTAAAAAAGTGCTTTTCCTGATACAGTATTTTCACACTATGAAAACTATGATTAAGGCCTTTTTGTGTAAGAGCGTAATGAAAAGAATTATTGGAATTTCAGCCTATTCAGGTGGGATGGAGTTTTTGGCCCAGATCATGATAGAACAATCTGATCTGATTATTCTGATCACCATCATCTTTTATTTTCATATGTATCCTCCTACTGTGAAGGGGTAAGAGGAGTAGGCTCCAGAGTCTAGATGATCCTATCCGCCAATCAGGGCCTTGTATGTAAATATATTTCAATTTGTATCGACACGCCCACACGATCAGACTGAGCATTTCAATGGCAAAAGGAGGCTCAGGGAAATAAATGATGAATCATATTTTTGGAGCTTTTTTCATGAAATAAACAGTGATTTGTTAAGATCATTAAAAAAAAGACTGCATGAGGGCTTTAACAACACATATCCATCTACACACAGTCTCCAATAACCTGTGGCCTTGCTAGGCTTAGAGACACATGGTTAATGAACTGCCACATGACTGATTCCATTCTGAGGTATAGAAGTAGCTAGCTAGCAGCTGGTAAATCTGTTTTCAACTTCATAAGTTAACCTGAGAAGCAGCGTCCATTTCAGTGAGTATTTATGACCCTGATAGAGGACACCATAAGGTCACTTTATGTGGCAGCAGTGGTTTTTTTTGCATCTATGGGCTCCTCCACTTTGCATGTTATCTAAGGCAAGGAAGTCGCAGGGAGATGTATAACACTCTCTCACACACACACACACAATCATCAGATTTCTCGGCAGAGCAACCCGGATATATATTGAAAGAAGAAGAACATGGAGGGACAGATCATGTAACAACATTACCATCTGATAAAAACTGTTAGCATCTGAAAAAAACCTTAGTCTGTTTTCCCCAACAGAACACCAAAACAAGGAAGAATAATATTACTTAACATACTTCACATTGAGATAAGAATGAAACTTACTGATGTGGTCTATGGCTCCGGCACAGAATTTGCCATAGAACTTTTTGGCCCCGAGGCCCCTGAGGTCATGGATGGTGTAGGGCCACAGGTGGAGCACGTTGTTTCTGGAGAAGGTGTCCCTCTTCTCAATCACCACCACCTTGGCCCCCAGCAGAGCCAGCTCGATGGCTGTGCGCAAGCCACAGGGCCCTCCTCCAATGATCAAAGACTGTGTGGGGGCGGGGGGGAGGAAGAGAGAGACATCATCAGTGTACAATACAAACTGTAATTAAAACACAACCAAGGTAAACAAACTGTTGCAAAGGTTAAATGAAGTGTGATTACAGAAAATGTGATTAGCTACATCGAAAGCGTTCACCTCTTCGACATACAGTACCAGTCAAAGGTTTGGACACACATACTCATTCAAGGGTTTTTATTTCTTTAATTTTTACTATTTTCGACATTATAGAATAATAGTGAAGACATCAAAACTATGAAATAACACATATGGAATCATGTAGTAACCCAAAAAGTGTTAAACAAAACAGAATATATTTTATATTTGAGATTCTTCAAAGTAGCCACCCTTTGCCTTGATGACAGCTTTGCACACTCGTGGCATTCTCTCAAGCAGCTTCATGAGGTAGTCATCTGGAATGCATTTCAATTAACAGGTGTGCCTTGTTAAAAGTTAATTTGTGGAATTTCTTTCCTTCTTAATGCGTTTCAGCAAATCAGTTGTGTTGTGACAAGGTAGGGGTGGTATACAGAAGATAGCCCTATTTGGTAAAAGACCAAGTCCATATTATGGCAAGAACAGCTCAAATATGCAAAGAGAAACGACAGTCCATCATTACTTTAAGACATGAAGGTCAATCAATCCGGAACATTCCAAGAACTTTGAACGTTTCTCAAGTGCAGTCGCAAAAACCATCAAGCGCTATGATGAGGAAAGGAAGACCCAGAGTTACCTCTGCTGCAGAAGATAAGTTCATTAGAGTTAACTGCACCTCAGATTACAGCCCAAATAAATGCTTCACAGAGTTCAAGTAACAGACATCTCAACATCAACTGTTCAGTGGAGACTGCGTGAATCAGACCTTCATGGTCGAATTGCTGCAAAGAAACCACTACTAAAGGACACCAATAAGAAGAAGAGACTTGCTTGGGCCAAGAAACACGAGCAATGGACATTAGACCAGTGGAAATCTGTCCTTTGGTCTGATGAGTTCCAACCGCCGTGTCTTTGTGAGACGCAGAGTAGGTGAACGGATGATCTTTGCATGTGTGGTTCCCACGTGAAGCATGGAGGAGGAGTTGTGATGGTGTGGGGGTGCTTTGCTGGTGACACTGTCAGTGGTTTATTTAGAATTCACAGCATTCTGCAGCGATACGCCATCCCTTCTGGTTTGCGCTTAGTGGGACTATCATGTGTTTTTCAACAGGACAATGACCCAAAACACACCTCCAGGCTGTGTAAGGGCTATTTGACCAAGGAGAGTGATGGAGTAATGCATCAGATGACCTGGCCTCCACAATCACCCGACCTCAACCCAATTGAGATGTTTTGGGATGAGTTGGACCGCAGAATGAAGGAAAAGCAGCCAACAAGTACTCATCATATGTGGGAACTCCTTCAAGACTGTTGGAAAAGCATTCCAGGTGAAGCTGGTTGAGAGAATACCAAGAGTGTGTAAAGCTGTCATCAAGGCAAAGGGTGGCTACTTTGAAGAATCTCAAATATATTTAGATTTGTTTAATACTTTTTTGGTTACTACATGATTCCATGTGTTATTTCATAGTTTTGATGTCTTCACTATTATTCTACAATGTAGAAAATAGTAAAATAAAGAAAAACCCTTGAATGAGTAGGTGTGTCCAAACTTTTGACTGGTACTGTAAGTTCTATTGTATTGCAACCTCTGGTATACAGCATAAAAGAGTAAAGGGTAAAACAAGGCCTCGTAAGGGGAACTGAATGGGGAACAACATGTCAACTCAAGAGTTGTGGTTTAGCATTCATTTTAAAAAGTGAAAAATCTAAGTCTCAGCATCATTCTGTTAACATGGAATTGTCCCCATGCTAAACATGCTAGAAAACGTGGACATAAATGGGCAGATTTTTTTTTTAACAGCCTGCATTCTTTGTTCCAATTCTTTGACAGTGTAAAATCACCAAATCTATCACAACAAAATGAGGAGGTTTATCATGCTATCTTTGTTTAAAATGATCCGATGGACGTGTGCAGCGTAGCTGTTCGTTTCTCCACATTGCTCACAAACATCTACCAGCTGGGTGTGCAGTGATATCATATCTCAAGACAGTGAAACACGATAAGAGATACACACAAACAGTCTGTTTCACATGTGTCATCACATTATCATGAAAGAGAAGTCGCGTTATGAACTTACTGTACAGATAGTACTCTAACATACTGTAAAACCATAGAATTAAATAGAACACAGGCTCTGCTCACGGTTTAACTTGAATGTATATCTATGATGTAAACTGCCAGTCATGTGATATGATTATATTTTTGACTGCACTGTGCCTTTAATAAAAGTAGCCAATTCCATCAGATGGTGACCAGAGTCTTACCTACATCTGACACAGAGAAGGATAACACTTTATTTGGATACTCCCAAGTAGATGGTGTGTAGATGTTTAGTACAGGGCCGGACTACCACATTTGGGGCCCTGGGGCACCTACCTCCAGGGCGCCCAACCCCTGTATTCATAGGCTATCTGGGGGGCCCGTTTGGTAATCCGGCCTTGGTTCAGTAGATGTTCAGTAACTGTCAACAACATTTCAACTAACTATCTACTAACCCTTATTCTAAACCTAACGTTAACAAGCATTTTCTTATCAACAGATACTTTGTTGATAGTATGACCATCTGTAGATTTTTTTAAACATTTTTAGTCATTTAGCAGACGCTCTTATCCAGAACAACTTACAGGAGCAATTAGGGTTAAGTGCCTTGCTCAAGGGCACAGACAGATTTTTCACCTAGTCGGCTCTGGGATTAGAACCAGCGACCTTTCGGTTACTGGCACAACGCTCTTACCCACTAAGCTACCTGCCGCCCCCATCTATATGGGAGTATCCAAATAAAATGCGACCCAGGGAAGTTCTAAATCAAAACCAACCAGCTATGAATCATCAGTCTTTATGCAGATATGGGATATTAACATGGAGATTATCATCTATTCAATCCCAATGTGGGAGGTCTGCCCAATGGCAAATACGGGGTTTGTTCATTTAAGGCTTGTTCCTTATATCTAGATGCTGCATTTATTGTATCAAATCTAAAACGACTTCCAACCTCTGTCACAAAGTTGTGAGTCTGACTTGTGCATTTGATTACTGTGATAGCTTGTCTGACTTCTTACCCTAGTGCCCTCACAGGCTTTGGCTTTCTTGTACTCCTTGTGGCCGGCTCTCTTGTCCAGTTTGGTCCAGAGGGCATTGGCCTTCCAATTGGTGACCGTGGCTTTGAGGTTGCTGTAGAAGTTCCTGTAGTCCAGCGGATCCAGATCCATCTGCCTGCATAGGATACTAAAGGCCTGCAGAGTGCCCTTACACGTGGACACCTGGACAAAGTTCTCAAAGAGCTGCCCCGCCTGGGCGCTCCTCTCATCCTCTGTTTCACCCATATTCTGTTTTGGAGACTCGATCTGTCCGTTACTCCCTCTCTCCGTCTCCAGCCACTCACAGGCTTAGTTAGAATATGATCTGACTGCCATCTCAGCGGGTTCTGGAAAAGAAAATGGCATTGGATTTTATTACAGTATCACTCTGCACTCAGACTGTGGTACTATATGCAAAAATAATCAAGACATGTTCTATGTGATATGGTCTCCCAAGTAATAATGTTATATTAACAGCACTTAATAAACATTAAAACTATTACAGACATGACAACAAATTACTTTCTTAAAAAGTCCACAAAAGATGAATTAGCACCTTGTAGCATGATTATGTTACTGCAAATGTTTAAAATGAAAACAACAAGGTCACATTCTAAATATACGGAAACTCTGTAGCATGTTCTCAAAATAGACTACATGCACTCCTTGATCTACAGTGCATTCGGGAAAGACCTCTTCCTTTTTCCACATTTTGTTACATTACAGCCTTATTCTAAAATGGATTAAATAAATAAAAATGCATCATCTATCTACATACAATACCCCATAATGACAAAGCGAAAACAGGTTTATATAAATTTTTTAAACATTTATAAAAAATAACAAAAACATTTACATAAGTATTCAGACCCTTTGCTATGAGAATCGAAATTGAGCTCAGGTGCATCCTGTTTCCAATGATCATCCTTGAGATGTTTCTACAACTTGGAGTCCACCTGTGGTAAATTCAATTGATTGGAAATGATTTGGAAAGGCACACAGTTGACAGTGAACGTCAGAGCAAAAACCAAGCCATGAGGTTCGAAGGAATTGTCCGTAGAGCTCCGAGACAGGATTGTGTCGAGGCACAGATCTGGGAAAAGGGCACCAAAACATTTCTGCAGCATTGAAGGTCCCCAAGAACACAGTGGCCTCCATCATTCTTAAATGGAAGAAGTTTGGAACCAGCAAGACCCTTCCTAGAGCTGGCCGCCCGGCCAAACTGAGCAATTGGGGGAGAAGGGCCTTGGTCAGGGAGGTGACCAAGAACCTGATGGTCACTCTGACAGCGCTCCAGAGTTCCTCTGTGGAGATGGGAGAACCTTCCAGAAGGACAACCATCTCTGCAGCACTCCACCAAATCAGGCCTTTATGGTAGAGTGGCCAGATGGAAGCCACTCCTCAGTAAAAGGCACATGACAGCCCGCTTGGAGTTTGCCAAAAGGCACCTAAAGGACTGACCATGAGAAACGATATTCTCTGGTCTGATGAAACCAAGATTGAACTCTTTGGCCTAGATGCCAAGCGTCACGTCTGGAAGAAACCTGGCACCATCCCTACGGTGAAGCATGGTGGCAGCATCATGATGTGGAGATGTTTTTCAGCGGCAGGGACTGGGAGACTAGTCAGGATTGAGGGAAAGATGAACGGAGCAAAGTACAGAGAGATCCTTGCTGAGTGGCTCCCCATCTAACATGACAGAGAAGAAGACTCAAGGCTGTAATCTCTGCCAAAAGGTGCTTCAACAAAGTACTGAGTAAAAGGGTCTGAATACTTATGTAAATGTGATTTCATTTATTTTATTTTGTAAACATTTGCAAAAAAAATCTAAAAGCCTGTTTTTGCTTTGTCATTATGGGGCATTGTGTGTAGATTGATGAGGGAAAAAACGATTTAATCCATTTTAGAATAAGGCTGTAAAGTAACAAAATGTGGAGAAAGGGTTCTGAATACTTTCCGAATGCACTGTAAGATAGTGAACCAACATTTCCACTGAGCAGTCACAGGGAAACAGGAAAAGTTTAAATAGTGCGGCCTGTTTCAAGCATGAAGATGCTTTTGCATCAAACCTCTCTAAAATATCCCTAATTTGCATAGCTGGAGATATTCATCAGCTCATGATGACAGCTCTGAAACCATTAAAAAAGCCCAGGGATCTTTCCTCATTACAACACCCATGTACCCTACACTTAACTGCCTGTCTGTCTACATCCTCTCCCATTACCTGTCTAAATAATAGTCTGACTAGACAGTCATTCAACTAGCCATCATTCAGTAGTCTCCATAGCTCAAGTAAGGACCACCAATTTCAAGCAGCATATTGTAGAAGCATGTGGTCAGAGTGTATATAAGGAAATTAAATATATTATTCAATGACCTTGTACTGTGAGGGAAAATAAGTGTTTGACCCCCTGCTGATTTTGTACGTTTGCCCACTGACAAAGACATGATCAGTCTATAATTTTAAAATGGTAGGTTTATTTGAACAGTGAGAGACAGAATAACAACAAAGAAATCCAGAAAAACACATGTCAAAAATGTTATAAATTGATTTGCATTTTAATGTGGGAAATAAGTATTTGACCCCTCTGCAAAACATGACTTAGTACTTGGTGGCAAAACCCTTGTTGGCAATCACAGAGGTCAGACGTTTCTTGTAGTTGGCCACCAGGTTTGCACACATCTCAGGAGGGATTCTGTCCCACTCCTCTTTGCAGATCTTCTCCAAGTCATTAAGGTTTCGAGCCTAACGTTTGGCAACTCGAACCTTCAGCTCCCTCCACAGATTTTCTATGGGATTAAGGTCTGGAGACTGGCTAGGCCACTCCAGGACCTTAATGTGCTTCTTCTTGAGCCACTCCTTTGTTGCCTTGGCCGTGTGTTTTGGGTCATTGTCATGCTGGAATACCCATCCACGACCCATTTTCAATGCCCTGGCTGAGGGAAGGAGGTTCTCACCCAAGATTTGACGGTACATGGCCCCGTCCATTGTCCCTTTGATGCGGTGAAGTTGTCCTGCCCCCTTAGCAGAAAAACACCCCCAAAGCATAATGTTTCCACCTCCATGTTTGACAGTGGGGATAGTGTTCTTGGGGTCATAGGCAGCATTCCTCCTCCTCCAAACACAGCGGGTTGAGTTGATGCCAAAGAACTCGATTTTGGTCTCATCTGACCACAACACTTCACCCAGTTCTCCTCTGAATCATTCAGATGTTCATTGGCAAACTTCAGACGGGACTGTATATGTGCTTTCTTGAGCAGGGAGCAGGGGGACCTTGCGGGCACTGCAGGATTTCAGTCCTTCACGGCGTAGTGCAGGGAGCAGGGGGACCTTGCGGGCACTGCAGGATTTCAGTCCTTCACGGCGTAGTGTGTTACCAATTGTTTTCTTGGTGACTATGGTCCCAGCTGCCTTGAGATCATTGACAAGATCCTCCCGTGTAGTTCTGGGCTGATTCCTCACCATTCTGAAGATCATTGCAACTCCACGAGGTGAGATCTTGCATGGAGCCCCAGGGCAAGGGAGATTGACAGGTCTTTTGTGTTTCTTCCATTTGCGAATAATCGCACCAACTGTTGTCACCTTCTCACCAAGCTGCTTGTCGATGGTCTTGTAGCCCATTCCAGCTTTGTGTAGGTCTAAAATCTTGTCCCTGACATCCTTGGAGAGCTCTTTGGTTTGGCCATGGTGGATAGTTTGGAATCTGATTGATTGATTGCTTCTGTGGACAGGTGTCTTTTATACAGGTAACTATCTGAGATTAGGAGCACTCCCTTTAAGAGTGTGTTCCTAATCTCAGCTCGTTACCTGTATAAAAAGACACCTGGGAGCCAGAAATCTTTCTGATTGAGAGGGGGTCAAATACTTATTTCCCTCATTAAAACGCAAATCAATTTATAACATTTTTGACATGCGTTTTTCTGGATTTTTTTGTTGTTATTCTGTCTCTCACTGTTCAAATAAACCTACCATTAAAATTACAGACTGATCATTTCTTTGTCAGTGGGCAAACGTACAAAATCAGCAGGGGATCAAATACTTTTTTCCCCTCACTGTATAATACATTCTCTCAACAATGACTTCTCTACCCTTCATGTCAATTGGAATGTAAACCTGGATGTGTCAAAGGAACTTGACAAAATCCCAATATCAAAGCACTACAGTAGTGGCATCTCTTCTCCTGAGGAGAGAGAATGCATTTTCCATGAGGCCTGAAACGGGAGCTCCTTCAATAGTTGAATGGCTACGTGCAGACTGCAGGAGTGTGCAACCTGAACAACTGAGAAGTCTGGCTGCAGTGACTGAGGCCTGCTAGTCCACAGTAGCTCCCCTCTCCCCACTGCTTTTAGTGAACAAGAGAGGGTGTCATCTCTCATCCGTAATCACTTTTGGCAGATAGCAACAACATCTAAATCGAACACTGAGTCTCTAGCATTGAAAGACAGCTGCTCTCTGCTCCAATACACTTTTCTGGCTGACCTGAGTTGACCACTCATGGGAGGGTGTAATTCAGTCAAGAGAGAAATAAAAAAAATCTCACATTTCAACTTCAGCTTGCTAGGGGGGGTAAAGACACAGTAACTCACACACACTTCCAGGGATTCAGTGTGGTACGAGTGTTCACAGCCTAATCTACAGTGCATTTGGAAAGTATTCAGACCCCTTGACTTATCCACATTTTGTTACTTTACAGCCTTGTTCTAAAATGGTTTGAATTGTTTCCTCCTGGAGCAGGTTTTCATCAAGGATCTCTGTACTTTGCTCTGTTCATCTTTCCCTCGATCCTGACTAGTCTCCCAGTCCCTGCCGCTGAAAACATCCCCACAGCATGATGCTGCCACCACGCTTCACCGTAGGGATGGTGCCAGGTTTCCTCCAGACGTGACGCTTGGCATTCAGGCCAAAGCGTTCAATCTTGATTTCATCAGACCAGAGAATCTTGTTTCTCATGGTCTGAGTCCTTTAGGTGCCTTTTGGCAAACTCCAAGCGGGCTGTCATGTGCCTTTTACTGAGGAGTGGCTTCCGTCTGGCCACTCCACCATAAAAGCCTGATTGGTGGAGTGCTGCAGAGATGGTTGTCCTTCTGGAAGGTTCTCCCATCTCCACAGAAGAATTCTGGTGTTCTGTCAGAGTGACCATCGGGTTCTTGGTCACCTCCCTGACCAAGGCCCTTCTCCCTCAATTGCTCAGTTTGGCCAGACGGCCAGCTCTAGGAAGAGTCTTGGTGGTTCCAAACTTCTTCCA